TTAATTATAGAGAGTGAATTTGACTTTCCAAATTTTGAGAGTCAAACTCACTCTCTAAATTAAAATATTAATTTAAAAGTCTATTGAAACATAATTTTACGGGTTGACTCTTTAAAATAGACAATATTTTATATTTAAAGAGTATAGTGGAGATGCTCTAAAATATGAAAAATACTATTGGAGTTCTAATACTTGTCGTTAATAAAATAATAGCTCCATGGTGGTACAAAGAAAATTTTTGATGCAAATTCTTTAATGATTTGCAAAGCAGAGGGTTTACAAAAATTTGTGAAAGCTCAAGACTTAGTTAAATATATTTTATAAAAATGTCTTCATTAATGAAAAAATAATGTTGTAAAATAAAAAAACTTGATCAATTATTTTTTTTTTTCGTTTTAAAATAAGAATAGCTAATTAGAAAAGGGGAAAAATGAAATTGGCTGCGTTCAAGCTAAATAATATGGTCTTATCCAAGTTAAAATATGAAATTGTATGGATTGTTGTGGAAAGATAAGTATTTCCTTTTGGCACGACAAAAGATTGCAACTTAAACGTAATATTCTTAATCACTTCTAATGAGCTCACTATCCCATAGAATTCTTTAGAAACTCAAGCACATAAATATAAAATTTATCTCTGCATGGCCAATTGCATGTCTTGCAATTCATGGGAAAAGACTATTACTCTTATGATGGTACCTGAGTGTGCTATCACTTTTTTTTTTAACACGAAAGTAGTTTTATTGAAAGTAACCTTCACTTGTGGCGGAGGAAAACCTTGGGACAAAACAGTCTTACAACCTTAGAAGAACGAGACAAATTAACTCACTTAAATATATAGGGAGCTCCAATGCGATCCAACCGTGCAAGGCCTCGAGCATACATAGGCAAGTCAGTACCAGACGTAAAACGTTGCGTTACTCCATGTGCACCCATTTTTGCTAGTAAATCTGCCACTTGATTCCCTTCCCGAAACTGGTGTGATACCTGAATCTCAAATAAATTCATCAAATTCAATAACTCCTCCCAAAAATCCCACAAATACCAAATAGTGCACTTGCGTTTCAACATCCAT